GCTCTGTAGATTAAAAACAGATTCTTGGCAACTTCCTATGGTTCAACCTAATCTGAATGGCCAGCCCAGGTGCCCTGTCTCCTTTTCCGACTTGAGTCTGAGACACTCTTCAGAAGTGGCCTGAGGGCTGCCTGTTCTTCTACTTGAAGGAGCTCCCCAAACTCCGCACTCCAGTCTTGCCGCAAGCACCCCCTCCCCACAGGATCTAGCTTCAGACCGGGGCTTCCTGACCACTGTGCTGTGCGCGTTGGGTGGCTTCTCGCTGCTCCTGGGCCTGGCTTCCCGCGAGCAACGACTGCAGCGCTGGACACGCCCCCTGTCGGTCCTGGTGTGGGCCGCGCTACTCGGGCTAGGCCACGGCTTCCAGTTCACTGGGGGCCTGGTGAGCGCCTGGGACCAGGTGAGAGGAGCGGCAGGTGGAGCAGGGGGCAGGAGGACGCTCGGGCCAAGAGCAGCCAACAGCTTCCCGTGCACCTCTCCCCCAGGTGTCCTTTTTCCTCTTCATCATCTTCACCGTGTACGCCATGTTGCCCTTGGGCATGCGGGATGCCGCCGCTGCGGGTCTTGCCTCATCACTCTCCCACCTGCTGGTCCTTGGGCTGTACCTGGGGCCTCAGCCGGACTCCCGGCCAGCGCTGCTGCCGCAGGTGAGAACGCACACACGTAGCCCAGGCCGCGCCCCCGGGCCCCCACTGCGCCCAGGGCCCGCTGGGCGGCACGCCGCTGGTTTCTCTGAGCATGCGCCAACCGCTTGTTGAGCTGGGACTCCATGGCAGGGCGCCACGCTAAGCACAGGGTACAAACACATACACCCAGACGGTGCCCTCGTGGAGCTGGTACACCACTGCTGCAGGCATGATGCTGCAGACCCCAGAAGACCCCTCTGGGCCCACGGGGAAGAGACTTCCCCAGGGGACCAGAGTTGTGGGGACAGATGTGGATGATGGAACCTTCACAGCGAATGTAAAAATTGGAGCTTGAGTAGTTTTGTGCTGCGGGGGACGTGGAGGGGCGTAGATGGTGGGGTGGTGTTCCAGGCAGAGGAAATGTGCGTGCAAGGGTTTCTAGGCCTAAGAGGCCTTGTTGGTGCTCAACTGAGTCTAGAGCAGGGACACTGGGGCAGGAGAAGCGCCCCCGAGGGACTGGGCAGTGTGGCACCGATGGCCTGGAAATACTCCGGTCTCTCACTGTGGAGTCCTCCTCAACCCTCCTGGGGACCAACTCCAGCTACACATGTAGCCACTCCCCCCGCCAGCTGTGGCCGGCGCGCTCTGAGGCTGACCCTCTCCGCTCCCCCAGCTGGCAGCAAACGCCGTGTTGTTCCTGTGCGGGAACGTGGCGGGGGCGTACCACAAGGCGCTGATGGAGCGCGCGCTGCGCGCCACGTTCCGGGAGGCTCTTCGCTCCCTGCACTCGCGCCGCCGGCTGGACACCGAGAAGAAGCACCAGGTCCGCTGGGCCTGGGAGGCTGGGCGGGACCGGAGTTTGAGAAAGGAGTTGTTTATATCACACAACGGGGCTCCTTTGCAAGCCGAATGACTTTGGGCAGGTTACTGGCCCTTCTCTCTCCTCCTTTGTAAAACGTGGCTACCGCCCACCTTGGAAAGTTGTGTTAAGTCTCGAAAACCCTGAAGCTTCTAAAAGCACTTTTATGATACTAAACGAAGAACCCTAATTCTGCCATCGGTGCTGGGAGTTCAGTCCCTAAAGGTGATTAGTGCAGGATGGGGTGCTGAAGCCCAGCTCTGTGTGATGGGGAGGATCTGGGGGAGTAGCCTGGGGCCCACCTGGTGGGGCTGGGGAAGTGGGTGAGCTCCTAGGTCGTTGGGAGGCTGGGACTCCTGGCTTTAGGTTGCAAGAGGGTGGGTGTTCATAGTGATCTCCTCCAGGAACACCTTCTCTTGTCCATCCTTCCTGCCTACTTGGCCCGAGAGATGAAGGCAGAGATCATGGCACGGCTGCAGGCTGGACAGGGGTCACGGCCAGAGAGCACCAACAACTTCCACAGCCTCTATGTCAAGAGGCACCAGGGAGTCAGGTATGAGAGGGGATGGCCAGAGGGGCGGGGGGTGTGGGCTGAGATCTTGGCCCCCCTGATGCCATTTGCCCTGCCCAGCGTGCTGTATGCTGACATCGTGGGCTTCACGAGGCTGGCCAGTGAGTGCTCCCCTAAGGAGTTGGTGCTCATGCTCAACGAGCTCTTTGGCAAGTTCGACCAGATTGCCAAGGTCAGAGGGGATCTCCCTCCCTACCCAGGGACCTTCAAATGCCCCACCCTGGAGAGTCCCTCCCGAGGGAAACTCCTGCCACCTAAGATCCCAGTCCCATTTCAGAGCCCATGTATTCCAATGGAAGATATTCCAACGGAAGTAGGAAACCCTCTCAAACAACCCTAGGTATGGAGCTGCTCACCACACACCTCAAACCTGGAGAGACTTCTCAACAAGGTCCCACAAATACCCCAACGACAACACCCCCCAAATATGCTCAGAGCGCCCGGCATAGGGGTCTCTGGACACCACAACCAGATCTAGAGAGATTTTCAGATGTTCTAACCTTAGGGAGCCCTTCCAAGGGAACTCTCTGCCCTGTGCAACATCAGCCCAAGCCAGCCCAGCCACCTGTTCAGACCCCAGGGATGCCCCCAACAAACCTAATTAGGTCTCCCCCAGAAAACCGCAGTCTTGAGGCTACTCTCATGTGCTCAAATCTGAATACACCCTACACGTGCCGAAGCTGGGGGAGAGCCACAGACCTTAGCCAGCCCCATATCCAGTTAAGGGAATCCCTAGATCTGACCCAGAGACTCCCAACCTCAGAAGTTCTTCAGGAATACCACATTTGCTCCCACTTGTCCCAGCCCCCTCGTGCCTCCTCTGACCTCTAACCAGGTGCCCCCCCCCCGCACACACACACACACACTCCCAGGAGCATGAATGCATGCGGATCAAGATCCTGGGAGACTGTTACTACTGTGTCTCTGGGCTTCCGCTCTCCCTGCCAGACCACGCCATCAACTGTGTGCGCATGGGGCTGGACATGTGCCGGGCCATCAGGTCAGCTCGGGGGGGCAGGCGGGAGGGGTACCAAGGGATGGATGTGGGCGAGGAGCAGGCAGGGTAGTGGAGGTCCTCTTGGAGAGAGGGAGGGGTGTGGCATGCGTAGAGGCGAAGGCGGCATTCAGACTGTCCCCTGCATACCCTGCTCAGGAAACTCCGGGCAGCCACTGGTGTGGACATCAACATGCGTGTGGGTGTGCATTCGGGCAGTGTGCTCTGCGGGGTCATCGGCCTACAGAAGTGGCAGTATGATGTCTGGTCCCATGATGTCACACTGGCCAACCACATGGAGGCGGGCGGCGTGCCAGGGTGAGATGTGGGGCTGCAGGAGGCCACAGGAAGAAACCAGCCGGGCCTCCCACATGCTGCCACCCTATTCATAGTTCCCTAAAATGAGCACAGTCCTACCTGGGGCTCGGGGAGATCCTGGCATGCAGGGAGGGGTGCTGGGAGACACCTCCTGGAACACAGGGCCTTGCTTAAAGTCAGACCTCCAGGAAGGATCCTGGAAAAAAATGAGAGGTTTGCAGGCCCTCCCTCCTGATTCTCACTGCCCCCTCTTTCCAGACGAGTACATATTACAGGGGCTACCCTGGCCCTGCTGGCAGGGGCTTATGCTGTGGAGGATGCATCCATGGAACACCGGGACCCATACCTTCGGGAGCTAGGGGAGCCCACCTACCTAGTCATCGATCCCCGGGTAAAAGCCCAGCCTGGACCCCATGGGCTGGCCCATCCTAACCACCCACAGCCACCAGGCCTGATCTCTTCTCCTATGCCAGACATTGAATTCCTGGGTCCCAGGGTGTCTGTCGAGGGGAAGGAGAGCCAACCTTCTAAGGGGTGTGGGGAGAATGTAGAAAGCATTTGTGATCTTGACTCTCAGCACTCATATGCCCCAGGCTGAGGAGGAGGATGAGAAGGGCACTGCGGGAGGGCTGCTGTCCTCTCTCGAGGGTCCCAAGATGCGGCCGTCGCTGCTGATGACCCGCTACCTGGAGTCCTGGGGCGCAGCCAAGCCTTTTGCCCACCTGAGCCACCTAGAGAGCCCTGTGTCCACCTCCACCCCTCTCCCGGTAAGTGCACCTCCGTCGTGAGCCCGAGCACTTACGAACCCCTCCCGACTTCCCTGCCCTCACCACCAGTGAGTCACTTGATGACATCCCGAGGTCCTGAACTGTCTGGTTGCTCCAGTTACTGGTTCAGGCCTTTCCTTGTCCTTCCTTCCAGAGACAGGGCAAAGATCACCGCCCTCTGGGCTCACCTGAGATGCAGAATCCTATAGACATCAGATCTATGGCCATTATTCCCCAACCTCCACTCGGGAACCCCCTTCCATCAGCACCACAGAGGTATAGGCCACACTTCTGGCTCCGAAGCCAGTGCTCACAGCCATTCCCGCGGGGAAATGTCTCTGTCCAACTCCATTCCTGAGACTGCACACTCTCTTTTAATCCCCACCAGGACTGGGAAGGTGGGGGCGAATCAGTTGTTGCCCCGACTCTCCAGCATGTGTATGAGAATAAAATGAGGTGACAGTGAAAATCTCATGGCCTTCAAGGACGTCACCCTGAGCAGGCAGGGGTCAGGGAGGGAGGGAAGAGAGGACACAAGGGGACGGTGGATTACTGGCTGATCCTGTGCTTGGCACCCTCAGCTCATCGGTGACCCACTAGCTGGTGCAGGAGTCTTCATCTCCCCCACCAGCAGGCTCTTAGGTTTGGTGCTTGGTGACAAGCAGCCAGAACCCCCTCTTGCAGGGACTGAGGCCATGTCCCCAAAGGCTTGCCCCAGGAGCAGCTTCCTCAGCCTGCCCTCCTCCATTTGATCTGATCTTCCCAGAACTTTCCCAGCCACCTTTTTGCAGATCTTCCACTCAGAATCTTCTCTACTAGGTAGACTCAGTTGGGTATATGGGATGACTTCAGAGTACACTTTCTATGTTCTGGCTCCCCTCCCCACCCACCCAGCAGGAAAGCAGGCCAGAGATCAGTGAGCACTGTGGAGTGGGGGGACCTTGGCAGCCGTGGTTCACGAGAATACCTAATTCGAAGACTTCACGTAGGGTAGGGGTAAGGTCAGAAGGGCTAAGCAGGCAGGAAGGAGAGGAAGAAAGAATCCAAGACCCTGCTCACTCTTGCAGGATGGAGCCCCCCACTCCCCAGGGGGAGGAGGTAGAGTAGAGGGTGGGCTTTGGTGGGAGCCCAGGGACTGTGAGACAGTGTTGGGTGCAATGCCCATGGTGAGATGCCCCCCCAGAACCCATGCCAGACCTCCCCAAGACCCCACTAGTGTGCAGGCTAAGAAGTGTCAGGGTGGAGAAGTTGGAACCCCTAGTTCAAGGGTATCTCCCAAGGCAGGACCTCACCAGCCCAGAAATTCACTTCCCAGCCCCTGAAGTGCCAAGCCCTCAGCCAAATGTCAGGAACCCTGAGAATGACATCAGCTTATCCTTAAATAATGGGGACCTCTGGGGTGGCAGTGCGTTGTTGGTGCTAGTGTGTACCTACCATCCGTCTGTCCGTCCATCCATCCATCCTTTCCACAATCTTAAAGCATCTACTATGTGGCAGGCACGAGGCTAGTTCTTGAGAAGACAGAAATGAATAAAACGTTTTCCCTGCCTTCGAATAACATACAGGCATTGAGCAAGGTGGAGAGGCAGGTGGGTAGTTTGAAAAAATTTAGGCCCGGACCAAGATGCATAGATGGGCTCCTACCTAGAACATCTCTCTTAATCTCCCTTTTCCTCTCCTCTCCCTCTCCCGTACACCGGGTTTGGGTTTGGGGGGATGAGGTAGCCCCCTGTGACCCTGCTGCCTTCACATGAGCCAGGGGAGAACGAAAGAACAGTCACCAGACGCCTGGCCCTGGGCAGGGGCCGCTGCACTTCACTCTCTTTCTTGGGACTTGTCTCACCCACTTTACTTGTCTGCTTGCTTTCATATCTTTACACACAGCACGCTTTCCTTTTACTGCAGAAAAGAATGACTGTGACCGGGTTTGTTTCTCTTCCTTCCTCTTTCCCTTTCTTCTTGTTTTTTGTTTTCTGCTCCCACCACCTCCCAGCTCAGCCTGACCACAAAGGAGTCAGAATGTTCAGCGTCATCACTTCAGTTTAAACCAACGAGGATTTTTTGGCGTGCTGGGGGGATGGGCAAGTCCCCGTTTTTGGGATTTGTTCAGTCCTTAGGGAAGATGACCACCCCTCAAGCCTACAGAGTTGTCTCATAAGTGGTATAAAACTGAGGAAATAAGAGCATAAGGACCCCTGGGTGTCTGAAGAGTCCGGAAGAACTTTTAAGGCATAAATGTGGTTTGACCCTTCCCTTAAGGACAGGTGGGATTTGATGGAAAGAGGAAGCCATCAGAGGCAGGGGAAACACATCAGATGCTCACAGCCAAGGACGTGTATAGACATGGAATGCCTCACTGCAGAGAGGCTTCAAGGATGCTCAGCATTGGGGCACCTGGGTGGCTCAGTTGGTTAAGCGACTGCCTTCAGCTCAGGTCATGATCCTGGAGTCCCAGGATCGAGTCCCGCATC